TATTATATTAACTGTACTGTTAATATAACAAATGGTAGTCAATGTATGGTGGATGCATTTCTCACATAACTACTATAAGAGCAAATATAATTGTACATATTAAACTAATATTTTAAAGAGCTTTCCAGAGTAAAAAATGAATCACACAAACATACACATGTAGAAGTTAACAAAGACAAAAACAGCGATGGACACACAGTCCAAAATAACCATTCAGCAAGACTTAGCTTGCTCATCTTCATTTAATTTCGAATATTGAAATGGCCACCATTTGACCATCCTGGATGAATCTGACAGGAATCAGATGTGAATCTGAATCCTTTCCCAAGTCTAGGCTAACAGCATGATACTCTCAGATGAAAACGTTTTACAAACACACAGGAATGCAATTTACAGCTCTATGGAATAAGTTCTCCAACATTTTGATTTTCAAGCAAGGAAGTATGGGTAAAATCTGACATCATAAACACTGTTGCAAGAAATACTGATGTGAAATACCAATTCAATTTTCAGTGTGCATAATACATATGTATAAAATTATAACAAGAATGTTGCAAAAAAAAAAAAAAAAGTAAACAAATTTCCAAAAAAACATTTTGGTTGTTTTTGTCCCTTTTTTACAGTCAACAGGTTATACATTATATACAACCTGTATAAGCTACGCTCATCAATGAATTTGAGAATTAAGTATATAGTAGAAAAAATACATAAATTCAAAAAAAATATATTTTCAGTTTTGTTGCCATGACAACTAATTTATAGGTATGGTTGGCACAATGTTTTAAACTATCAACAGAGGTACATTACTTGGGGTTTGCAACCGCATAGTACTGTATGGTGACATGTCAAGATCCCATTCAAGTCTCATTTCGTAGATAGCGAGACTGATGCTACAACCTTCTGACGTGACATAGGCGGTTTGTAATAAAACAATAAAACATCGAAAATGTACAGAAAATATAGTTATCGTAATCCGTCATATTGTGAGTAGCTATTTTGATCCACTTGGACATCCCAGTATCCTAGTTACCTCGGGCATGCGCATTCTTCATTTTTCTGAGTTGGAACGCTTATGCGAGAGCAAGATTGAAACGAGATCTTGGTATCATGTCACCTGTAGTTGCAAACCCCAAGTAATGTACCACTGCTATCAACCAATTAGAAGTTATAGAGGACATTTTCTCAATTGTTTACAAGAGTGACCATGATGCAATACTTTACCCATAATCCTTTGCTAAGGAATCAAGATGGTGGATTACATATACCCCGTAAAATCTGTATTAGAAGCCGCATCCCTAATAGAAGTCACACCCATTCTTTTTTGAATAATTGAGAACCAAAAATTCATAATTTCTCATATGTGTAGGTGCTCTAATAGAAGCTGCATTCCCTCTAATGCATTATACCATTTTAATAGAATCCACAGTTTCCAATACAGATTTTACAGTACTGAAGAAAAGTTGAATATCTGAAGATTGGGAATGTGATATAAAAAACTGTAAATTGCATCCTGCATTTTGTGGAGCTATTTCACCTGACAGCAATATGTTGTTAGCCTAGTCCTCCTAGATGTACTGTTCAATCAAAGGAAATTGCCACAAGACAGAAATGAACTAGCGAATTATGGAATACCGAAAATTGAGACAGTAGGTGGTCAATTTAGACATGACAAGTTTGATGATGGTGAAATCCACAAAGCAATAATTACTTTTGAAGAGCTCCATGTCAAACACATGTAGCAGCACTTCAAGATTATGCTGTATGGATTATGACAACTTTGTTTTAATATTTATTTATTTATTTATGTGTTATTGTACAATGATGAAGTGTTTCAAAACATATCCAAAATATTTGTTATTGCAGCTGTAATTCTGGTGCCGTCAGTTCCCTGAGAACATGGGTTATAGCATACAAAACCGCATTAAACTTCAAGAAGAAGCCGTGTCAATGAAGATGTTACAAGAATAAAAGATCTAATGATGATCACAATGGAATAGCCTTCAGTTGAAGACTTCGATTTTAGATTCGATTTTTAGCCGTGTTATCTTGCAAACAGTAGCATCACAATACATAATAATGACGCTATTGTACACAACTGAAAGAGATTTGTGTTATGGAATTAAGGTAGAGATGCAGTTTATTTGGCTTGCTTATTAATTGAGTAATTAGACAATGAAGATGGTATTATATATCCAACATGTTATATATTTTCTGAAAGCATATTATACAAACTTTGTAAACTTGTCTTTATTTTTAAATATCCAGAATGCGTTT